GTTGAATCACCTGTGTATGGGCCCAGGCAACTCGAGAAGCACGATGGAGTCACTACTAAAATTTTGGAGGCTCGGGGCAACTTGACCAAATGGTTGGCGGCACCAGCCACGATTGAGTTGCACCTAAAATTTTGGAGGCAAGTGGGGGGCCGAAAAGGTTTGTGGGCACCTGCCACAACAAAAACAAAAACGCTGCGCTGGCATTTCGGCAAAGCTTGGCACGCAGGGGGAATCCACCTCTTTCAAAAGAGGTCCGGATGTACTGGTGCTCTAAAGCATGCCATACGGAACGGTAAACCACATGACAACCTTTTTTTACCGTTCACAATGATCACAGTCATCGTTTTCTCCCATCTTATGGCGTGCTATATGAGCTCTCTCTCTCTTTCTCACTCTCTCACTCTCTCCCTCTTTCTCTCTCTCTCTCTCACACACACACACACACATGACAAGTAGTAGTTATGCTAACACACACACACACACACACACATACACACACACACACACACACACACACACACACACACACACACACATGATGAGTAGTAGTTATGCTAGTAATCTTCATCATCATCATCTCTGTGTGCGGTGTATGTGTGTGCGTCATGCCATCAATTTATGAATGAGGCAGAGCAGTGGTACATGGTTGTCGGGAACAACGGATCTGCTTTTATGATGACAACAATGATAGCGATGACGTGAATCATGAGGGAAGAGAGAGAAAACACAGGGAGAGAGAGAGAGAGAGAGAGAGAGAGAGAGAGAGAGAGAGAGAGAGAGAGAGAGAGCGACCCCTTTATAAGCAGATGGAGGCAGAGTTGGAGGGAGAGAGGAGGATGTGCTGTCGAGTAGATGGACGTATGTCTCCATATTTTATGTGACCCGGATTGGGGTTTAGTACGATGAGGAGCCTGTTGTTCATCGTCTCTCTCTCTCTCTCTCTCTCTCTCTCTCTCTCTCTCTCTCTCTCTCTCTCTCTCTCTCTCTCTCTCTCTCTCTCTGTGTGTGTGTGTGNTCTCTCTCTCTCTCTCTCTCTCTCTCTCTCTCTCTCTCTCTCTCTCTCTCTCTCTCTCTCTGTGTGTGTGTGTGTGTGTGTGTGTGTGTGTATGCTTGTGTGCACATGCTTTCACTCACGGGATGCAGCAGGGATGTGTCCTCTGGGTTCGGGCCAAGCGACACTTTTGCTAGCGAAGCGCCAACATAGCACCGGTGGGGTCCAGTGTGTCATCCCGGTGGGGTGCAGTGTGTCATCCCAGCTCCCTCTTGTCCATTCCCTGATCCCCTTCCCTCTCATTCACAGTGCGTACTAGTGTGCCAGTTCGTAGCTAGTCGTTTTTCTTATTCTTTCTTCAGTAACAAACACCTCCCCTAAGTTAACCAAACCAAAGTCTAACATCGTCGGTTAGCCATTTAAGTATCTTCGCACATACTATTCTATTCTATTCTATTCTATCATAATTCTTGAGAGCCTAAGAGCCCTCCAGAAATTTAAGATTGTGGACCCGGTATTCATTCTTTCTATCTTTATTTACAGTCTTTTGCCCGCTAAAGTTCTTCTCTGTGTTTGAAGAGGGTGGCAGCCATGCTTTCACTGACTCGGCCCCCTCCGAGCCGGGAAACACTCCACGTACCCAGATGCTCAGGGGGGAACTGGGCCATGATCGTCCTCCTCTGCACTGCAACATTGCTCCTGCTGCTGAAAGTCTGCCGCCTTTTGAATGCAGCGGCTGCTCAATTCACCACGGTTCCCCGCGTCGTACAATCCTAGAATCTGTCATCTTCCCCCCTATATGTTTGTTCCCTATTGCGAGGCCGATTATTCTACCTCCTGCTCTTTTCACTCGTATCGTTTTCCAATTGTCCTAAACACAGCCCTCTTCTCCGCATTACAGTTTCCTCAGTTCTCCTCTTTCAGCTTGAACGTCCCCGACCACATACCCCATTGTCCCCCCTGAAGCCCCCAGCCGGGCGACCAGCACTCTTCCCTTGCCTATCCTACCATTCTGACCTACACCCGCTTCCCTAGGCAAGAGGTGATGACAGTGTATCTCCTGCGGGTTCCGGAGCTCGAACCAACGCACCCCCCACTTCTTTTATCGAGTGCCATGAGTCTACACGCCCATCTGGGGCGCTATGATTTTTCCATACACAACAATTTCCAGCCTCCCCTTCCATGGCTACGTTCTCCCTCTATCTGCTAGGCAACCTACCGTCTTCCCCCGTACGTAAACGCAACGCACCCTGAAAATGAACGTATACAAGGTATGTTTCCGGCCTGATACAGTCAAAATAAGGGTGCGTTGTGTTTGGGGGAAGATGGGCTCCATGTCTGGTGCCGGGCTGTCGTTGTGACTAAGCAGATTCCCAAACTTATGTGAACCATTTACCAGGTCGAATGTGACCAGTGTTGGGAACAGTCGCCATCCATCGACTCTCCAACGACTCTCCATGTTCTATGAACCAGGGAATTCTCATATAGAGAGGAGCGCACGAGGTCAGATGCCTGTGTTGGAAGTCAGGCGCTATTGCCCGTCTGAGAAGTGCTTGGCGGAAGTGACTTCTGCCCTTATTGTCGCCATTGCCGGTTTCTCATCTCTCATCACAACTGTTCACCTGGTTTTCTGCATTCCTCATCAGGCAGCGGCTCCGGTTCTTTCGCCAGCATAGTGGGTGACACCACAATCCCGCTTGATCTCACCAGCTTGTACCAGGGGTATATAGTATATACTGTTGCCATTGCCGGTTTCTCATCTCTCATCACAACTGCACACCTGGTTTTCTGCATTCCTCAGCAGGCAGCGGCTCCGGTTCTTTCGCCAGCATAGTGGGCGGCACCACGATCCCGCTTGATCTCGCCAGCTTGTACCAGGGGTATATAGTATATACTGTATAGTATATACTGTATGATATATACTGGAGAAAAGGGGTTCGAACCCTTTTGACCTATAGCGCGACACGCATTTGTTCGGTATCTTATATGGTTGCGAGTCTGGCTATTGATATTGCACACGGACGGTTTGTTCTGTATGTGCAGTATATAATACAGTACAGTGCAATATCTCTTTGTTCGGGCAGTTGTTTTTGTGAATATAGTCTCTGAGGACGCTGTTCGTTTTTTTTTTTTTTTTTTTTTCTCTCTCCTCCGTTGTCTTCATCTTTTCCATGGTGATTTGAACTCAGGCATGTATTTGGACAGTTCATGGGTGTACCACCAACTGAGATGGGCCCATTAGTAGTGCAAGGTTCCAGGCCTCTGCAGCATCAGGCTGCCTAGGGAAATGTGCCCAGGCCGCCCTAATAAGTGAAGGCAAAGCTGCAATATTCACAGCTGACCCTAAGTCAAGGCCGGCGGGGGGTGCTATGGGTTGGCCGACAGGAGCCAGCCTCTGTAACTAACTAGCACAGGCTCAACCTGCGAGCTCGCCACAGGGGCTGGGACCTGGACGCTGTTCCAGTAGGCCGCAGGCGCTGCCTACTGGGTCTTGACACCGCCTCCACTCCAGCGCAAATGTTTGGAGCCCGTCGGGCAGAACACATTCGGGCAGGATGCTGCCTGGCGAGAGCACTATTGCACAGTGAGCAAAGACGGAGAGCAGCTGTGGTGGCTGTACTGAGGGCATGCCATAGCTGAGCGCATGGAAGCGGAGTGTGCGGAGTTAGTTACAGAGGCTGGGACCTGCACGCTGTCCTGGTGGGCTGCAGGCACATTCGGAGTTTGGACGCGGCCTCCACTCCAGCGCAGTAGTCTGGAGGCGGCCACACAGAACACATTCGGGCAGGATGCTGGGTGCTGAGAGTGCTATCACGCAGTGAGCAGAACGCCTTGCCCGGAGAAGGAGAGCAGCTGCATGGGCTGTAGCGACATGTGAGTGTCGGCTAAGCACACGGCCGAGAGGAGCCAACTATAGTTAAGAGGGAGTCGTTGGCACAGGTCTGTGCATGCACACAGTCACTGCAACGGTTTGCGCATGATTGTTTTTTTTTTTTTTTTTTTTTTTTTTTTTTKTTKYKWTTKKWWTWTTGGGAGTTAGTAGACGCAAGGTCTAGCATTCGATTTCAAAAATCCAAAACCTCAGACAGCATTGTTTGATGAGATTCTTCCTTTTTCAGCTTTTTTTTTTTTTTTTTTTTTTCAGAGTCCGTTTTCGTCTCGTATATGGGGGACAGCTGTATTTGCTACATTATTCTGTTGTCGTCAATGTTTTTTACGTGACCCCATAATTCCCACGTAAGGGTTATGGGTCCAACCACCTTACCTAGCAGGCTGGGACCATTGCAACTCGTACGCCACGGGGTTAGGCTCAATCTTATTTATTGCATAGCTGACCCCTAACCCCTTGACGGAAGCCCCTACTACCTACCCCTACCTCCCTGAAGACTCCTATCGGAAGCCCGTACTAGCTACCTACCCATACCTAGCTGAGCCTCCTATCGAAAGCCCCTGCTACCTACCTACCTCTACCTACCTGAGCCTCCTATCGGAAGCCCCTACAACCTACCTACCTACCTGAGCCTCCTATCGGAAGCCCCTACTACCTACCTACCCCTACCTACCTGAGCCTCCTATCGGAAGCCCCTACTACCTACCTACCCCTACCTATTGGAAGCCCCTACTACCTACCTACCTACCTGAGCCTCCTATCTGAAGCCCATACTACCTACCTACCCCTACCTACCTGAGCCTCCTGTCGGAAGCCCCTACTACCTACCTACATACGCGAGCCTCCCATCGGAAGCCCCTACTACCTACTTATCTTATCCTATCCCTTTAGGGCTGAGTTTATCCCCTCAGGGTCGAACATAACCCCTAGATATAGAAGAGGTTGCTGAGATCCTTTTGCATTTTGGAGAGACCCTTCCTTTTTTTTTTCCATGTTTTTGGCTGCTGAAGCAAACAGTTGCGGCATCAGGGGGGGGTGATCTCTCGATCTCAATGGCTGCCTCCTTCTCGTTGACGGTGCTTGGTGCGGAATCTCTCGATGGTTTTCTCTGAATTGCAGGCTGAGAGTTGGACGCAAGAACAGTCTTCTGTTGTCGTCTTGGGTTGGTGAAAAGTACGGTATTGTCTGCATTGCATACTATTGGGAGTTGGGAAGGACGGTGAAAGACGAGGTGACTGTCGGCGAATTTCCGTCGCTTTTATCGGCAGGTTCCAGACCAAGGGGGGTTTCACAGGGGCACAATTCACTGTGTCGTCAGTTTGCGCGTCGTCTTCTTCGTTGGTGCAGGTGGCATCATCTGACATTTAATTTTTTTTTTTTGAAACGCGAGCATTCTTCTGTACATACTACATAAGTGTCTCGGCGCACAACCTGTCGTTTGTTTGTTCTTTTGTAATCGATCACGACAAACAAGCGGATCTTTTCAAAAAAAAAAGGGAAAAAACAAAAAAAAAACGGAGTGGAACCGTTGTCAGCTGTCCCTCCCCTCTTTTTCTGTCCTTCCTGTATAGATGCCCACTTCTCAGTGTGCCTTGTTATCTCTGTCTGTTTAGGATTGCCAGGCAGAAGAAGAAGAAGAAGAAGATTCTTTCTTTTTCTTTCGGGAAGATTCGTTCTTCGTTCAAAGAAGGCTCTTTTTTTTGCGGCCGTTCTTGTTCTTGTACATTCTATATTGTGTCTGTTTCCAAATGCCACGTCGACTTTGCCGTTGCCTGGGGTGTTCTATATTCTATTCTGTGTCCATTTTACGGAGATCATACATCGACCTGGCAGTGCCCGGTGGTTATCATTGACAGGCAGAAGAAGATTCTGTGCTGTTTTTTTTTTTTTTTTTTTTTTTYTTGAGAAGGTTGTTCTGAGAAGGTAATTGAGACAGCAAAGAATCGTCCGGGAAGATTCAGCAGTGTCCGTTTGGACTTTCGAGAATATTCCTTTCGTCCGGTTCTTTTTGTTTGTTTTTGTTTCTGTACATTCTATTGTGTGCGTTTGTTTACGGGCTTCGTACGTCCACGGTGCGGTATGGGGAGACTTCATGTCATTCAGTTGGAAGGTAGGATATACAGCTGCAAGCAATGCAGAAGCCACTTGGCGAACATGGATGAGCTTATTTCGAAAGCGTTCCATTGCCGGCAAGGAAAAGCGTACCTATTCAACACCGTCGTCAATGTGTCGATTGGACCGAAGGAGAACCGTGTTATGACGACTGGCCTTCACACGGTTGCCGACATCTACTGCAACTGCTGCCAACGCATCGTTGGCTGGAAATACGTCGAGGCCTTCGTCAAGAGCCAGAAGTATAAAGAGGGGAAGTACATTCTCGAGCGTCAGAAGATGACCGATGGAGACGGAAGCGACTACTACATGGATTCACAGCCTTTGGGGAGTGACACTGATGATGTATAGGAAAAACGAAAAAGCTTCGATATGAAAAGGATTTGATGTGTCATGTCTGAGGTAGGGGTCACCATTGCCTTCAATTCACCACCGTCGCTGCCACCCCCACCTTCCTTCTTGTCCCATCCCATCTCATCCCCGTCCTCAGCCCATGCCCCCCCCCCCCTCCAAGTAATTCTTGCCTTCACTCACTTTTGTTTTTTTTTTCTTTCTCACACCCTTGAAGACTCTTCGTGCTGACATGTGTAAATAGCTCGCATTCTTTTCTTTTCTTTTTTTTTCGATAGCTCGCATTCTGCGGGCTTGAAAGCTGTACCATCAGACCATTAAATTGGGGGGGCGGGGGGAGGGGAGTTAGGGTATCATCTCCACATGGCTGTGGGGATGGGGAGGGTGGGGTGGGGGGTAGTCAGATCTCCGCACGTGCACGACAGCTAGTTTTCTGCATGACTCTTAGGCTAGCAGTGTGACCTGGGACCGAGGTGACCCCGGCAGCCCAGTGGATAGCCCAGCATGGCTGCTAGGCTAGCAGTGTGACCGGGGACCAAGGTGACCCAGGCAGCCCAGTGGGTAGCCCAGCATGGCTGTAAATTTCTCTGCCAATTGATGATCAGCCTCTTCCATGATCTGCAATTTCCACATCGCCGATTCAACAATAACTCCTGCTCCCCCTCCTCCTTCCCCCCCCCACCACCCCGGTCGCCTGGCCAAGAAAAGAATGGGGCGGAAAGATCAACGCTTCGCTGCGCTTGTGTCGCCAGAGGCCACAAAGTGGGAGAAAGTGGTTAATGAAGATTTAATGTCCCCTACCCCCCCCCCAAGAGTGGTTAATGAAGATTTAAAGCTCTTCCCCCCCCTCCCCCCCGCCCGGGATGAGAAACATGCTCGCTATGGCAACCCACAGTGAGGCCAGTCTGGTTCCCGATGTCTTCCTCCTGCCTCACATCATGGAGTAGGGATTTGGGGTTCTCTATTGTCGCTGTGAAGCCACGCTCAGGTTGTCGCGATTTCTTAATCGCCTGACATGGGAACATTGGATGGGATGGTTTTGCTTAAACCACCAGTACTTCCAAAAGTCGTACCTGCTGGGATGATCGGACACGGGGCACAGAACTAAATCGATTCCACCGGAAATGTCGCAGCAAGTTTTTCAAGTGCAAACATCGCAGCATTGTAGCAATGGCTGGCTGCATGCACACCACGACTGGTGGTTTGCCGATCGGAAGTTTGAGTTGGTCATTCTTTTACTCGCACGACTGGAATCGAGTGGAGGACGAGAGAGCTGCTGACGAACGCTCGATGAAGTTGCCGCGTGTTCTCGACGAAGTTCCTTGTATTGTACTTTCTAGTAAGTTTCTAGTACTTTCTAGTATCTACCTGTTCTTGTGGACCTGCCCGGTTATGGGAATGCTGGAAAGACGCAGTTGGAAAGACGACAGAGATTCAGGTAGGCGTCATGTGTGAATGCTGCCGGTTTTAGAGGTGGGGGGAACAGTGGATGACTTCTTGAATCTCTTTGGTTTTTGGACTTGAAAACTTCATAAAAGTCAAAAGTTAAAAAGGTAAAAGATGGTTTACGTCAGTGGTGATGGACCGATGGTTGAATTCGCGTCCGCATTCAGGATCGAGTGATATTAGCTCTGTTACCTCCAGCATCGGCGAGGTCCTTCATATTTCAAAAGGTCCTCTTCTGCATATTTGACGATCATTGTTTCTATGTACGGGCCAGCCTGTTGTCGGGTTTCATATGTACTCTATGGGACAATTTTCCGGTTTCATACGTATTCAAGGGGGAACAATTTTCTTCAGGTGAAAATCGCACACCCTACGCTGGTGGTTTATGACCTTCTAATTAACCACGGCTGCGTCCATTTTTTCCTCACAACCCGGAAATGGAAGCGGGGTACGGTGGTTGGTTTCTGCTAAAGCTTCTGAAATGCTGAGCCTGAATCTCCAAGTTTTCTCTATCGGTTTAGCGAAACGCAGAGGTAGTGATGATGTTTGAATTGCCCGGTACGGCGTCAGGAACGACGGATTTCCTTGGACCTAGGGGATATGGAAAACGCAATAGAGATGGAGATGGAGAAGATGCGGACTTGTCTCTGCCATCCCGTGCTGGCTGTTTTGATAAGAGAGAGGTCCGGTTATGGCCCGCCGAAGCAGCAGGTGACCGCAGCGGAACAACTATGTACCTGGAAGATGGAAGTCGATTGACGCGGTGCTGCGTTGTTTCTTTCGACTCTTCCGGTCGTTTGCTCGAGAGAGCTTTCCAGATATGGCCGCGGAAGCGGGTGACGGAGTTTCAGCAGCTCTCGATTAGATGTACAGAACGAGGGATGATGTTTGGGTTTCCCAATTTCGCCTCGGTGAGGAACGGTGGATGTCTTTGGACCTCTGCGATATGGATGATAATGCGGGCGCTCACTTGTTTCGGCCAAGTTTCCACCCGTTCCGATGGAAACGTGTCCAACCGGTTGAAGTGATAAAATAGCTACTACTACTGTACAGCGATGTTGGTCTTTTAGGTGTGAAGCTGTTGCGCGTGGAAAACTTGTCTAAGACGACTTGGAAGCAGCTGGCAGCATTCCATCTGTTTCCATCTGTTTCCACGAAAGAGCTTGTCCGGCTACGATGTCAGAAGCTGGAGGCAGCGTTTGGGATGGGGCTCGATTATAGATCGCGATGGTTGATTTGTGTCCGATCTACGGTCAGTAACGCTGGATTGCTTTGGGACCTCTTGGATACGGAAAGATGAGGGAGGCGCTGAATTGTTTCTCGGACATGATCGACTGTGTCGAAGAATTGTGCCGTTGCCCTTGGGCTGCGTGTGCACGTGATCGCGATGGTTGATTTGTGTCTACGGTCAGTACCGCTGGATTGCTTTGGGACCTCTCGGATACGGAAAGATGAGGGAGGCGCTGAATTGTTTCTTGGACATGATGGACTGTGTCGAAGAATTGTGCCGTTGCCTTTGGGCTGTGTGTGCACGTGCTTGGGTCTAGACGATAGAATTGCGATTCGTCGTTCGCTTCTTGATTCTATCCTGGCACTCACTCCGCTTGCCAGAGTCGCCTGGTGTAGCAGCGACTCGTCGCCAAACTCACCTGGCTCACGTTTTGTAACTTGCAAACACTTGGGCTGTGTGTGCACATGCTTGGGTCTAGATGATAGAATTGAGATTCGCGGTTCGCTTCTTGATTCTATCCTGGCACTCGCTCTGCTCGCCAGAGTCGCCTGGTGTAGCAGTGACTCGTCGCCAAACTCACCTGACTCGCGTTTGTACTCGTCGCCAAACTCACCTGACTCGCGTTTGTATCTTACAAACACGTGTGCTATTGTCAGGTAAGTTTTCTGGTTGTTTCCACGGAAGAACTTTCCGGTTACGTCTTTCGGAGCAGCAGGTGGTGGTGGCGTTCGAATGAATCGACTATGATATAGAATCGTAGGTGTGAATTGCCGGATTTCAACGCCGCGGTTGGGCAATTTTTAACACTGCGTTCGAATTGGCCGACATTTGGAAAAATTCGACAGGTCAACAATAGGGACGGAGGATTTCCTACCTTCTTCCCCCGAATAGAATGCATGGTCATTATAGCTGTATCTAGACTGGAAGATGCCTCAAATACAGCTATAATGACCGTACGTTGTATTCGGGGGAAGAAGGTAGGCAGGTGCTTCATGGATGTTGAAGACAGTGGGAGAGTTGCCGAGGAGAAGTCTACGAAATTTCTCGGTTGTTTCAATGAGAAGGAATTTCTGGTTGCGGCTGTGGAAGCAAGTGGTGGCGTGTGGTGGCTCGATTGGATGCTTGTACGTCACAAACTGATGGTTTCAAATCAAGGAAGGATTTTTCTGTGATGGTGGGTACCTTCTGAATCTAGACGTATGTTTCCTCTGTAGTACATGTTGAATAAGATGATGTTACCAGGGTTTCGCTGACAGTTTGTGCATGTGAAATCAGCGAGATTGGGAAGTAGAGAGAAGTAGAGAGCTAGGTGGAGTCCCCTGACAAGGACAGGCCTTTATCTTTCGATTGGTTTATTTTTCTGTAATATAACCTTTCTGTGAGCAGTGATTTAAATTTTTAACAAATTCAAACCACCCGCGTGCCCCTCCCCTCCACCTCCCTCCCCACCCCACTCCCCCCCCAAAAAAACAAGAAAGATTTATGCAACAGAACATGTGAAACAAGACCTTTACTCTGTGTCAGCAGCCTGACAGCTCAATAATAATTTTTTGATGATGACAAAGCAGGGTGTCTGTTTTTTTTTTTTGTTTTTTTCTACCCTATGCAAATTTTTAGAAAAGTATGAAAAGTTAAGAAAAAACAGTTCTCTGTTTGCTGTTCATCATGGCCGTGAATTGGACTCTGTTAGAGCAGTATGTTGCACTGCAGGATCCG